GTCCCTACGCCCAAGGCGGGACTCTCCTTTCTGAGCGTGCCCCGTCTCCACAGATGCCTCCTACTCCAGACAGTGAGGGAGAGGGAGGTTTGGGAGTTGCACTGGGAGGTCCCCGCGCCCCTCTCCACCCTACCCCCAGCTCATCCGGGCCTTCCCCGAGACCACAGCTGGAGAAGACGGCCTGTAAACGGAGGGTCTCTCTCAGAGCTCCTACCTAGGTAATCAAGCAAGGTGATGGGAGCATCAGATGATCTTTTCTATACCCTGCCTCTGCCCAAGTAGCCCGCTGCACAACGGGCTCGTAAGTGCGCACTCTCCCTGGGAAAGCAAGCGAGGGACCCTTGGAGATCCTTTAGGGAGGGAAACTAGAAAGTCACCTTTAAAGGTTGTTCTTAGATCCCGGGATTGGGAAACAGCGACCCCCAGAGCCGGGCTTCGTTTTTGATTTCCTCCTCCTGGGTGGGGTGGCCTCCTCGGCACCCTAGAGCCCAGCTCAGCCCAGCAACAGACCCTACACATCTGGCTGAGGGACCCACAGGAGCATGGGAGCGGCCCAAGTGCTCCAGACTGAGGGTCAGAGGCGAGGATTCAGTCTCTATAGACCCCCTATACAGAATCAGAGACAATATCTCCTATTCGCTATCGACTTTAAGGAATTACACACAGGCATATGATTTCATCCTATCTGAATCTCTAGCACAACAATCTAGGAAGGTACACAGATTAGGTTATGACCATTTTGCAGCTCAGGAAATAGATGCTAGTAGGCTTTGTTTCCTTAATTTAACTGTGGGCTTCAGAAGGGAGCCAGGAAATCTCTAGTTTATTCTGGCTGTGATAGTAGTTGCTTCTATAATTCGGGGGAGCGGGTTATATTACACAGATGGAAGTGGTAAAGCCAGGGCTCAGACTCTACCCAGGTGGTCATCCCACTACCTGGGACTGCAAGACGGGTGCAGAAATGCACTCACAGAACTTCTTTTCAAGCCTCTTGTTCCCCACTGGGGGCTGCAGCAATATCTTTCACTGCAAATGTAGTGCCTCTGGTCACTGAGTCACTCCATATTACTGGGGATTAATAATATGGAGTCTTTGTGGGGAGGAGATACATCTCAATTGTTGAAAGTTGACTTTTCAGACCAAGTACTATGCCAGGTGTTGCCTTCCTGAAATATTTGTGGGGTGTCATGAATTTTAATAAAACTTAAAGCAAAATAACACTGCCAGTCAATACATTTAGTACCCTAGGGTACTGTAAAGGACCAGAAAAGACCATGGAGTTGTAGGGGATGGCAAGAGAGGCATCTTTTCCTCTGCATATTATCCTGTTTTCTTTCTGTCCTTCCAAATGACACGGGAGGGGATAAAAGGGCACTTTCCATCAGCCATGAAGTATGAGCAAAAGCTGGTGGTGAGTCCACTCCTCAGGGGCTGGGCTTGAGCCTGCCCCTCTGAAGATCCTCGATTCTGTGCTGAGTGGCAGCCAACCCAGCAGAGTGTGCTTGAGATGGAGGCGACTGAACGGGGCCACTTGGGGACAGCTCCATAGGGGCCAGCTGTACCGGCTTCCAGCTGCACCCACTTCACCTGGAGCAAGTTGGTTTCAGGTTAAAGGACAACGACTCAAGGGGTGGACTACATTCTCCAGCATAATTGAAACCACGGAAAAGTCACTGATTTGGCCCAGGCCTGCCCTATTCAGGATGAGTCAGGGAGGTGCTGGATAGAAAGGATGCTCTTCAGTGAGAAGTAGGTGCTGGAGCCAAAGGAGAGACTCCCGAAGCTTTTGCTTGGACAACTCTGGAGATGTAGATATCGGCCTTTTCCTCACTGGGTGGGAATCTACTGACTTATTCCAGGCAGTGTGGTGCGCCTGGCAGAGAAGTCAGAGCGGTGGGTCTGTGTGAAAGGGCAGAGGTCAGAGAGGCGCCTCGGGTCTGTGCCTTGGTGCCGGTGCTGGTGCCCCGGTGCTGAAGAAGCCCAGCCTAGGTCTAAGCTGAGCGGGCGCTGGTGTGTGTGCATGAGAAGTGCACCAGCCCACAGAGGGTAAAACAGAGTCCTAGTTTCAGAGACCAGAGAAGCCCACCCTAGGCCTAGATTTCTGGTACCCACCCAACACCTGCTGCGTGGTTCCATGCTCAGTGGTGTTCCTGGTGCCTAGGAAACCAAGGCTAGGGAGCTGCGGAGACTACTTGCACCCTGGATCCTGCCTGGAGCTGAAAAGCTGCCGCCACAGAAAGGCTGAAGCGGCTCAACTCAAAGACTGGAAGAGTCACTAAACTCTTCACTGGGTCCAGAGCCCTCAAGATGGGGAGGGTGTACTTATGAGGATAACTACAGAAACCTCCAGTTCTGGCAATGAACTTTCAAAAATTGCAAAGGTCTGAAAGCACTTTGATGTGTCTGATTTCATTTGACTCTCATAAAAAACCTTTCGGAGTATTATCTCCATTTCTAAATGGCTTCGTGACTTGACTGGGAGGTTTGTAGGACGTTCTCCTACATTTGGTGTTTCTTACAGTTATGAAGAGACAGAGAGAGAGACAGACAGAGAGAGAGAGAGAGAGAGAGAGAGAGAGAGAGAGAGAGAGAGAGAGAGAAAACAAGAAATCTGCCTTGCCTTCATAAGATCCCATGCAGGGCACAGGCCTGTTTGGGCTGTGGCTCTAGACAAGGTCCATACTCTGCTTTGCCTGCTCCTTTCTGTCGTTCACTTGAGCCCAGCATGGCCTCCCCTCCCTGCTCCCTAGACACCACATTGACCAAAGCAGTGTTGTTAGGATCTAAGGTCTTTCTGAGAGCACCCCCCAGAGAAGCTCCTGAAAGAGAAGGGCACAGAGGCCGGTTTGGTATCTGTCTTCGCCAATACAAGCTGCAGGCCATCACCACAAGAAAAGAAAAGAAAAAGTAGGGTTGTCTGGCCCAAAGCTGCTGCAGGAACCTCAGGAAAATGTGAGTGCACATAAGAGTTCCAGGATGTCCTGTGCTTTCTCAACCCCTGGTAAGGGAGGTAGAAGGTGAGGAAAGCAAATGTTAACATAGAAGTTGGCTTTGTATCGAGGGAGTACAGAGCATGCTTCAAGGAGAGGACGGATATCTTAAAAATCAAATAAGCAGAACAACTCCCCCTGCTATCAATTGCTATTAATGAAAAAGGAACCTCGTGTGCTGGACTAAATAGTTCAAAACTGCCTGTTCATTATCCGGAGCTTCCTCACTACGAGGAAGGGAAGACAATGTGAAAACAAAACCCAAATTGAGAAGCCTGCCTGACCGGCCTCCTCCGAAGTGTCAGGGAGGCACCTGCCAGAGTAGGAGGCGCTCCGCCCTCTCAGCCCCCGACGCGCTGGGAAAGCTCAAAGAGCCAAAGAGAAAGGAAAACAAAAACAAACAACAACGAAAATGTTTAAAATTCGGGGGGTGGGGGAGATGGAACTGGTCTCAAAATCCGCGCCAGGAAAGGCTCTACCGTAGTCCACTGACTGCGGGTCCTCGCCTGGCCCAGCAACGCGACTGACGCCCCCGGCTCGCTGGGGAACGAAGCCCACAGCTCCCCCTCGCCAGGCGCCCGAGGACCCTCAAGGCGCGGGGCTCGCACTTGAAGCCTGGAAACGCGCAGACAGGAAGCCCACTTCCTCCTAAGCAGTTTCTTGCTTGCCGGATGAGAGGAGCCCAATTGAAGCAGAATGATCCTCATCTACTAATATCCAGCGTGGCCACAAAGCGACTGGCCATTTACGCCGCCACTTTAAACAAAGATATTTGGTTATTCCCGGGGAAGCAAGTGCACTTTTGCATGGCTGAGCTCCGGGCGGAGGCGAGGCGAGGCGCGGCTCACCCTCCCGCCTCAGCCGGGCACTCCTGCCGCTCCTCGGTTGGCGTCCTCCCCGAAGGAGGAAAGAGCAGGGTCTGGGCTCGGCGTTGGGACTGTGATGTCCTCATAAACTCAGCTTCAGCCCCCAGAATCCCGCGAGTTCAGGCCACGGGCTAGGGTCTGAGACACACACCAGGTTTGTTCCCGGTGGGACAACTTCGGTGGTGCATCCCCGCCTTAGCGCTCCCCGCCTTGCTCGCAGCCCGGGAGGCGACGGCTGCGCGTTCCTGGCTGGGAGGGGGCGGGGAGCGAGCGTGCGGTGTGGGGGTGTG